GATATATACCAGGGTATATTGTAAGGCTGGAAACAGGCAGAATATCTTTGACTTTTACAACGATCAAATTAATTTTGAAATATTTCATTAGATTACAAAAAATGGAAGACAATAGACTACCTAAGCTATGCTGCAATAGATTGAAGGAAATTTCCTTAATGACAAAAAAAAACTATAGGATTCTGTAAGAATATTATGGATATCATCAATCATTGTGGACTCACATGGCTAAACTATAGGTTAAATTATGATGACATACAGATCGAACTTCCGAATATACTAAAAATAAAAATTGAACAGCTATTGCAGCAAGATCTGGCAAAATTATCTCTTACGAAAACATACTCAAACTATGGGTTACTTTATGATTCCTTTATTCCAGAACATTACTTTTCATGTAATTTGTCTTCAGCTTTAGTGAGTTTTATTGCACAGATCAGATTAATGTCAACAATGATCAAAGAAAATCATATTTACGCAATTAAGAAAGAAGATTTGTACTGTGGGTTATGTGGAAGTCAGATAACTGATGAAATATTCCATTTTATTGCTGAATGCGGGGATCTGGAAGGAGAGAGAAAAAAGATCCTGAAAAGTCTTCCTAGACCGCATTTGAACTCAATAAAGCTAATAAAAACTGTTTCAGATAAGAAAAGTTGGGCAATTGAACTGTTCAACTTTCAAAAAGCGGTTGGAAATAAAATTGCACTCGTGGAAGAGAGAAGAACAGGGGCACAATAAAAAGTCACCCTGTTTGCCATACCTTAATTGTAAATACTCTATTTTCACCTGTTCTCTTATGGCTAATATTGTCTGTAACTCCACGGAGAATCCGTACAGGGCAAGATGCCCTAATAAAGCTGTTTTGTTGTTGTTGTTGTTGTGTTACCAGGCAAACATTTATATATTTTGTGGTCAAAGAATCCTGTACAACCACTTTGTATTATGTCTTATCAACCATATTATCATATTGTGCTTTGATAACTAGACGAAAAAGACCTCCTTCGTTCCATCAAGACCCAATGACAGAAAGAAAGGAAATCTACTGCTTCACATGACATAGAGCAGGAGGGACAAGCCCCGGTTCTGTCCTCCCAAGATAACAACAGTCTTTGATTTCCAGACTTAAGTCTGGTCATCTACGGACAATGACTTTCCAGAATGGTTGCAAGGTTTACCCACTATGTACTAAGTGTCAACCTACAACCTCAAAATACATTATTGACTGTATTGTTATCATTTATTTTATCAATATTTCAGTTGGCTGAACGCCAACCTTTATCAAGGTATTATAGCATTTTAATGTGGGTCTATATGTCTGTTATAATACCTTGATAAAAAATAGCGTTCAGTCAAATGAAATATTGATAAAATAAATGATATTTTGATTCAATATATGCCTTTTTAATTAAAAACAAATATTTTGTAACGAATTCTACCTAGCGCATTCAAAGTACAGACCACCGTGTTGCATCGTCTTAAGCTATCTTTCTGCCAATTCGTCGATCCCGCGGTGATACCAGTTCTGATCATTCGATACAAAAAACTCTTTATCCTTAACTTCAAACTCAATCTGGTCATTGAAGTACCGTCCTAGGAAGTAAATGGGACATTGACCAAGTACCAATCTGATGGTGCGAGGTTATGTCTGTCTGGTAACATTTGGATTGATTGAAGGTATTGAAGATCTTCTTGTGTCGTCCGAGCAAAATGAGGTTTGGAGATAATCTGATGTAGAAGAACGCTTTATGTTCACTAAAATCAAATACTTCTGCTTGCCCAGTCTGTGATTTTATTTTAGTATTTAAACTTTCCAGTTTGAAGTCTTGAAGGACAACTAATACTGGAATATGGTCGTATGTCAATTCATGTTGTTTGCGCCTAACTATGCAAATATCTTGCCAGGTTGCATTGTTCTATAATTATGTAAATTTTTCTTTTAATTTATGTAAATATATGTGTATATAAAAAGAGTGAAAGTGATAATAAAGTGAAGCCAGTCAGCTAAAACCAGTGAGGCTGTTTGGTCATTATTTTATTCAAACAGCTTGCTGCTACATCGCACCTAGACAAGTCTCAGTAGTCAATCCACAGGTCTGGTGTACAGTCCACATTCTGCCAGAAATCGTCAACATATAAGACCAGACAAAAGGCTAAAGGAGCTAGACGGAAGTCCGAGCTAACATTGTTAGGATCCAAGCTCCAACAATTTTAGCACATTAGAAGTAATATTCTGGATTAGATTCTTATGTAGGACAAAATCAAGGATGTCAGGTGGGGAATCATAGGTGGGTACGTCAGAATAACTGACTTCAAGATCCATGTTTTCAATGATATTTTGGAGACAGTTTCCATTTCAATTTGTACTGTATGAGCCCAAAGCAAGAGGTTTTCAATTGAAGTCTCTGACCACAATGGTTGGTGTATTTGTTGAAACATGGCTTTAATATCGTATTAGTTTAGATTTATGTCTGGGGATTTGTAGGCTGAATATAGGTTAATTTGGGAACCACACACACACTTTTCTCTTATGGATATACCGGTTATTTCCACACTGAAGGTAATTGTGTTACCAGGCAAACATTTGTATATTTTGTGGTCAAAGAATCCTGTAAAACCACTTTGTCTTATGTCTTATCAAGCATTGTATCGAATTAAGTTTTAATAACTAGACGAAAAAGACTTCCTTCGTACCATCAAGACCCAATGCCAGCAAGAAAGAAAAGCTACTGCTTCACATGACACAGAGCAGGAGGGACAAGCACCAGTTCTGTCCTCCCAAGATAACAACAGTGTTTGATTTCAAGACTTAAGTCTGGTCATCTACAGACAATGACTTTCCAGAATGTTTGCAAGGTTTTCCCACTATGTACTAAGTTTCAACCTGCAACCCCAAAATACATTATTGACTGTATTGACTCATCCATTGATGAGCTCTTATTATCACCAGCAGTTACCATCAACAAGCTCTACAATCTTGATACCCTGATATGATTGAGTGGAGATAAGAAATAAGAAGATTTTGTTTCAATTAGGAATCTTCATTCCTATACGGTTTAAGCCAAGTTTCATAGACAAGGGTTCTGTCTATATCATACTCATTTAGAAATTCTGTAAATGAGGTTTTCTTACTGCGCAAACTACAAACATTCCAGTGAATTATTCGGAGCCTGCTTATATGAACTTGTGATCTTACATACATATACTCTGTGGTAACAATTAATTTATTAAACTTGAAATATGTATACAGTAGAACCTCCATGTAAAGGACACCTAATTGCAGAGCTAAAGTGTCCTTTAGGGAGAGGTGTTCTCTTACCGGAGAGTTTCTAAATTGTAAAAATGGTAATTTTGCAAATAAAAATTGTCCTTTCAAGAGAAGTGTCCATTATCGGGGTTTCCGCTAAAGGGAGGTTCTACTGTACCACAAGTATGAACTCATTTGTACTTTTTTTAAATTCTAAATTCCTTGTTACTATACAAGTTATGTATTAACATATACTTCAGTTATGTTCAAAACTATAAGTATACTTCAGTTATATAAAATGTTTCGGATACGATCATTGCCTCACTTACTAAGCTCGGAAATCTTGCCGCATTCTGGATATGTCTGGCCTTATCTAAATAGTTGTGACAGAGCTTGACTGTATCTTCTTGCCATTCTTCTGGTCTCCAACCAAAGCCTATATGCTTCCTTAAAAGTGGCCACAACACCAGAAACCCTGATGACATTAATAATTCACCAATACCCGATTTATACCTGACACACGTTTATTAAACTCGCACATCCTTATATACAGAAATATATTTACAAATAAGTAAAACTTCTGAATGAATATGCAAAAAAAGAGAAATTTACATAACCGGCGTCTCCATAAAGTTTGCAAAGAACTTTCATAAAGATAAATAAACTTATCATAAAGATAGAGGCTGCCTGGCCGGCATTCATAGTTCTTCAAATTGAAGATACTTCGGCCAATAAATCTTTTTATTATCTTGAATGCCCTTGCAGCCGTAGAATAATGTTTAACACTTTGCCAAATGTTTTACTTTTTGTTCGCTCCTGACGAAGACAAAAGATTTTTGTCGATACGTCGAGATAATAAAGGATTAACTAACCGAAGTATCTTTAATTTGAATAAATATCCTTATAACGTCTATTTAACGAAAATCTATAATATGGCCCAGCCACTTTGCCAGCAAAACAGCTCTTTGGTAGATTGTGAAGATTCCATTAGATCCTGTGTGGATCTCATGGAATAAAGTCCGCCCTAGACTGACGAGGGCCATTAGCCCGAAACCATGGTCTCTATGTGGACGCTTCTCAGTTTTCCAAAGCTGGTGTTGTGGCTTTGTCATCGACCCGAGGCCGATAGTTGCGGCGACGGTCAATAGACGGCGTCAGGATTTTGACGTTTATTTTGACGGGAGAGGTGCCCTATACTTCTATGGAAAATCTATAAAGTTGAGTACAGTCATAAGTGAAGTTTTTGATCTAACCTCTCCATGAAATCTTCACATTTCTATCCATATAAATCTCAAAGATAGTTAAGAACAAACAAGAACTGATTAATTAACAAACAAACAAACCCTCCATGTTAATTAATCAAACTACCCTGTGTATATAGATATATGGATATGCAAATATATTTAAGATACAACTTTATTTACAAGATAGAGATGAAACTCTCTCTATATTAGATTTAATTTAAAGATGAATTTCCATTTTGTCAGAAGATGCTATAGATCATAGTGATGAACCATCACATTTGACTTTATACAAGTTATTGGATTTTTATTTTAAAGAATATTGATGTTTATAATACATTATAATGCGGCTTATGATTGTATAACGACATTTGAAAATTATCCCGCATTTGTTTCTTTTGAACCAAAAATCGAAATTTATTTTAAGTAGAAATAACGATTATTTCTAACCTTAGGGATGAAGTATGAAAGTATGAATTGTGAAGTGTAATGATAAACGGAAAAATAAAAGTGTCCAGGGATGGGAATCGAACCCACAATGTTTCGCTTACCGGTCAGAGGCCATATCCATAAGGCTACCCTGGACATATTTTCGATTAAAAAGATACACATGCGGGATAATTTTCAAATATCGTTATACAATATTGGTGTTCTTTCTGTTATATTTATGTTTATATGTGTGTACAGTGGTACAGCCTACTCCACGCTGAAGAGCGCCAACAGCGCGAAATACGTTCGTAGATGGCTATTCTTGATTTATAAAAAAATTGGGTTGGCCAAATATCAGGGAAAAGGCTGAATCAATGTTTGGTTGATTTCTGTTAAACCAGATGACGCTCTGCCATCTGTAAAGCACATGTGCTCCTGGTCAGGATATGTCTTCTTTATTTTTAATATATGTAGGCATAAATAAAAGACAATTCGCTGAATAAGGATTTTCTTTTTTTCATTGCGAAAATATAAGTTTTCGGGCGTAACAGCCCTTTGACAGATACAATGGGTGTTGATGTGAAAAGGAATTATATCAGACATGACGTAGCCACGCAATAATATTTGAAATGAAGGCGATAAAAACCTGGTGATTTTCTTTTAATGGTAAAACACAAGCTTTCAGGCAAGAATGCCCTTCTTCAGGTTACAACTTGGAAATATTTTAAAACTATGGATATGAAAGATTGCCCAATTGGCGAGGTAAAACACGGAGTATTGGGGTGGGAGGTCGATTTTTCGGTTAAAACTGGGCGTGCAGTGCGAGACCAAAGATTCAAGGACTAGGCGCTGATACTTGTTCCCGACGCTCTTGTAAACGCATACAGCGCTGTCCAAATTGAACGAGTGGCGAAATTCTGTGATGTGTTGGCATAAGAGATCTATCCGCACAAGATTATCTGAACACAGCCGCAACATACGCACCAACGACCGCAAGTCTCTCTTATGCCAACACATCACAGAATTTCGCCACTCGTTCAATTTGGACAGCGCTGTATGCATTTACAAGGGCGTCGGGAACAAGTATCAGCGCCTAGTCCTTGAATCTTTGGTCTCGCACTGCACGCCCAGTTTTAACCGAAAAATCGACCTCCCACCCCAAATACTCCGTGTTTTACCTCGCCAATCCCCCCAGCTGAACTATTTACCTACTGTATTGGGCTATCTTTCATATCCATAGTTTTAAAATATTTCCAAATTGTAACCTGAGGAAGGACATTCTTGCCTGAAAGCTTGTGTTTTATCATTAAAAGAAAATCGCCACGTTTTTATCGCCTTCATTTCAAAGGAATTCTATGTTGGGGTCCCTTCCAGAGAGCTGCTGGGACTTAGCTGGGGTGTTCAACTCACCCCCATACCTCGGGAAGAGCCTTCACGTCTTGGGTGGGCCTACCAGGATCTTAATATCCAGACGTACTTCGCCTTCCCCCTATAGAATAGAAGGATTTACAATATCCGAAAGCTTGAGATAATAAATAAATTAAGCAAGAAATTTATCCTTGGATGCCGTTTTTTATTGTTTATTTTTTTTCAGTTGGATATGACAAATGAATCCTTTATTTTGCAATAGTTAATTTATTTGTGTGAGAATTGTTCGATTTGAAAGACGTCGTCGATATATTTTTATGGTTTAATCATTCTTGAAATGTTTCTGTTGAATGTATGTGTGGCCGACTCTAGTCATTTTACTAACTTAAATTCCTGTTTTGAGCCAATTCAACCAATTTCTTAACGCCCTCTCGTAGGATGTTGTGGAATTGAATCCGCCCTCGTACTGATGAGGACCATATCCTGAAACCATGGTATACAGGCTGGCTGTTTGTCTGAATTTGCCTAAACTGGTATTTTGGCTTATTCTTAATTGCTACTATTATGTTCTGTACTCGGATGATAGAAAAAATATATTGTTTTAATGCATTTTAACATATAGCAACCCAGAAGAATATAATAATGTGAAATGTAACTTTCAACATTCAATACAAGATCAATTATCTTCTGTGTGTGTTCTAAATTGATATTAGGAGTGAAAGTGACGTCATGGCAACACAAGAATGAGCATGCGCAGTAGTGGTAAGACTTCCGGGAAAGAAGGATCATCGAGGAGATAGGGGCGAGAATGACCGCGTGAACTGACCAGCGGTCATCTTCCGGACAACAAGAGAGTCCCTCTACTGCTCCCCAGCACGATACAAGGTCCATACACTGTGATGGAGGTTCCTGAGGCGACTGGATCCGAGCATCTTCCACGACACTCAAGACTTCCACTGTCCCTCACTGTTAGCCTGCCACGTCCACCGACACCAGCTCGGAGATCCCGGAGTCCACGACGTCAGTCCCAAGGACGCTATCCGAGCAGCTTCCACGACACTCAAGACTTCCACCGTCCCTCACTGCTAGCCAGCCACGTCCACCGACACCAGCTCGGAGCTTCTACCACGGCTCAATGATGTTCAGCGAATGATATTCGCGGAGGCAGTTCCAAGAACAGCGCTCAACCAACACGAACCCAACACAAGACATCCACTGTCCCTCACCGATAGCCAGCCACCGACACCAGTACGAGATGCTGAGCCTCCAACAACTCTCCTTCCATCGAGCGTCCACGTGGAACCAAAACATCTGGGATCTGTCTGTTCATGTCAGCAAGTCAGATCGCCTGTGCAAATTTGGAACTTCCAGACCTCCACAATAACTACGTGCTTTTTATATGAAGAATGCCCCAATATTTGAAGAACACACCGATCCTTACTGAACAAGAATGCACTTGCTTTCTCAAGCATTCCTCCACCACTGTCCCCCACTCTAGCGTGTCATTGCCCCCAACAACATGATCTAGCCCCCATCATGGCACGTTCAAGAGTGTCCTTCTCTCCTCCATCCCATAGTCCCCAACATAGCAAGAGTTCATTTCAAAAACCCAGTTCACCATCACCCACTCTAGCGTGCCATTGCCCCCAGCAACACGATCTAGCCCCAACATGGCACGTTCAAGAGTGTCCTTATTTCCTGCATCCCATAGTTCCCTACATAGCAAGAGTGCATTTCAATAACCTAGTTCACCGTCCCCCACTCTAGCGTGTCATTGCCCCCAACAACATGATCTAGCCCCAACATGGCACGTACAGCAGTTTATTTCATTCCTCCATCCAATAGACCCCAACATAGCAAGAGTGCATTTCAATTACCTAGTTCATGGTCGTCCTTCCACTCTAGCGTGCCATTGCCCCCAACAACATGCTCTAGCTCCCAACATGGCACGTACAGCAGTTCAGTTCATTCTCCAGCATACCTTCTCCTTCCCCCAATTTAGTGCGCCATTTCCCCAACAACATTCCCTAGTACCCAAATGTGGCTCGTACAAGAGTGCAGTCAATCCACCAACATACCTCCTCCCTCCCCCAATCAAGCGAACCAATGCCCCCAACAACATTCCTTTGCGCCCCTAACATGGCCCTACAAGAGTTTACTTTGATCTTACGCCCCTCCCCTCCTCTACCGCCTCTACCGAACCATCACCTTTAATAACAATTAAATATATTTTCAATAAGTTCTCGTTATTTTTATAGCACCATATACATATCCAGTTAAAAATTTCATGAAATATTAAAAGGATCACTACACATTTATAGTTTCAAAAGATCATTTGCTGGTTGGAAGTTGATTCAGAAGAAGACAGTCACATCAACCAATAGTTTATTCCAATTCCCGACAATTCATTGACTTCCTGTCATTCTCTTCAGGGGAATGGTTACTTTGAATCCTAGTTCTACTATCTGTATAACTATAAGAGGAATATCGAAAAATGCAATATAACAGCGGTATGGTAGATTGAACTAGCGAAACCACTGGGAGGGTTCACCATTGATGAGCACCATTAATTTTTCCTTTGCAGAAAGGCAGTAGAAATTGTTTTATTTTTAAAAGAATCACACGCGTCTATAATAGTTCCGAATTTATTTTTTGAAATGAGTTTCTTTTCAATATATTAATTCTACAGACCTTTATGCCATGATAAATTGATACTTGTCTATTAATATAAATAAATACTTGTTGACTTCGTTTAAAGAAACTGATTCCAAGAAGATCAATCAAACATTATTTATTTACAAGAGAAAGAACGAAATAAAAGAGAAACTTATAACAATTATAAACAAAGAGAAAATGATTTTCTTGTGTTTTGCACATATTTACTTGTGATCTTTCATATATACTCTGTGGGAACAATTAATTAATTAAACTTGAAATATATATACAGTGGAACCTCCATGTAAAGGATACCTAATTGCAGAGCCAAAGTGTCCTTTAGGGAGAGGTGTGTCCTCATATCAAAGAGTTGCTGAATTGTAAAAATGGTAATTTTGCAAATGAAACCTGTTTTTTTGTGGAGAGGCGTCCTCTTACCAGAGAGTTGCTCAATTGTAAAAATAGTAATTTTGCTAATGAAAACTGTTCTTTGTGTAGAAGTGTATTTATACTGGAGAGTTGCTAAATTGTAAAAATGGTAATTTTGAAAATAAAAACTGTGCTTTCTGAAGAAGTGTCCTCTTACCAGAGAGTTGCAAAATTGTAAAAATGGTAATTTTGAAAATGAAAACTGTCCTTTGTAGAGAGGTGTCCTCTTACTGGAGAGTTTCAAAATTGTCAAAATGGTAATTTTGCAAATGAAAATTGTCCTTTGTAGAGAGATGTCTGCAAGCGGGGTTTCCTCTAAAGGGAGGTTCTACTGTACCACAAGAATGAACTCATTTGTAATTTTTTAAATCCTAAATTCTATCCAAGTTATGTATTTAGATATACCTCAGATATATAAAGTTTTTTTCGGATACGATCACTGCCTCACTTACTAAGCTCGGAAATCTTGCCGCATCCTGGATGTCTGGCCTTATCTAAATAGTTGTGGCAGAGCTTGACTGTATCTTCTTGTCAGACTTCTTCTGGTCTCCAACCGAAGCTTATTTGCTTCCTTAAAATCGCCCACAACACCAGAAACCCTGAAGACACTAATAATTCACCAACACCCGATTTATAACTGACACACTTTTATTGAACTTACACATTTTATATACAGAATTATATTTACGAATATGTGAAACTTG